TGGAGTCAGTTGCACCAGGATTCTTACAGTGCCATAAGATTCTGCTCTTCCCTGTCCTTTTGACAAACACACGTGTGCATTTCATGTTCTCTGATGTGGCATAAAACCTTCAGTTCTAGAACACATTCTCTAGGATTAGAAAAGGCTTTAGGACTCATCTTGGTTACAGTAGAAACATAAAGCTTCTCCTATAAACCAGTTTTCACTAAGCCCTGAAAGTATCAGGCCAGAATTTTGAAGCCAGGCTTGAGTCTTATCCCCTGTAATCATGGAATTTTTCTCACTGAGGGCAACAATGTGGAGAAGTGGCTAAAGTAGATGGGTTTAAGAAGATAATGAAAATGCTGCCTCTTCAGGAAAGATATGCACATTTATAGGGGATAACATGCATGTTTCCCTAAAAGCTTTGGCTACAGGGCCATGCATAAATAGAAGGCATGAGAATGAAGGAATATGTGTCATCAAAATGGTGAATTCTTGGAAATCAAGCCGTAGAATGTGAGTAATAATTTTGGGAATGCTTTCCATTTTGTTGTGTCCCCTATAAAGAAATGTCTGGAAATGTTCTCACAGCAAAGTCTTCTCCATTCAACAATTGACCAGTTGTAACTGTATGAGTATAATCTACACATGATTGTAACATGCACAGTGGGTGTTCACCTAAGTATTTTATGATTGTTCTTCCTCTGAGAAGCTCTGCACAGAATACATGGAGTTACCCCCTTTTCATCCTCACAGGAACCCTGGGAGATGCATTAGGCTGATTGAGGACACTGAGTTGGCTCGGTGGTTGAAGCGGGAGCAGAATGCACCCTGGACTGGCTTTGGTTCAGCCCTTGATCCAGGACACCACTCTCTGTCTTTCCTTGGCATTGGAGGCTGGGATTGGTGGGCAGCTCAGATAAACTCTGGCTATCTTAATAGCATCTCCAGTCCATCCACAGGACTCTTGTTTTTCCATCTCTTCACACTAGATACAGAGGTGATTCTGGGTAGTGCTTCTGTGGCTATATTCCCATAGGAAGACCCCAGCTGCTCCATAGTGGATAAAGCTACGAATGACCTCTCGTCCTGATGGCTATAAGCTACCTCCAGCAACAGGAGGTTAGGAGCAGAACTGCAGAAGCCCATAATTTCTCAGTCAAAGATCCCTCAGAAGCCCACAGCAGCACTGATGGCTGAAAAACCAGATATACAGAAGTGCCAAACCGATCATTTTGTTCTGAATTAGGCAGTAAGTAAGGCAGCAGGACACTTTTGAAGACCTTAGAGCCATGGGAAGTGCAAATTGTATGTATGTATGTATGTATGTATGTATGTATGTATGTATTTATTTATTTAAAACATTTCTATGCTGGCCCCATCGCAACAAAGCCTCGGGGCGGCTCACAGCATAATTAAAACATATAAATAACAATTCATACAATTAAAAATTAAAAAGCCCAGTAACATCTTGGCTTAAAAATTTAAAATCCTATAAATACATTGTAAGTTAACAATTAAAATAAGTTTTAAATAAAAAGGTCTTAGCCTGGCGCCGAAATAACGACGGCACCAGGCGGACATCTCTGGGGAGCGCATTCCATGGGTGGGGCGCCACCGCAGAGAAAGCCCTCCTCCAAGTACTCAGCCTCCTAATATCATTCACAGAGGGTTCCTGGAGAAGGGCTTCTGCTGCCGATCTCAAGGGGCAGAGGGCATATATGGACTCAGGTGTTCTTTTAGATACCCAGGTCCCAAGCCGTTGAGGGCTTTATAGGTCATAACCAACACCTTGAATTGGGCCCGGACTTCAATGGGAAGCCAGTGAAGCTGACGGAGGACTGGGGTTATATGAGAACAACTCCCAGTCCCCGTCAGCAACCTGGCAGCTCTATTCTGCACCAATTGAAGTATCTGGACCGTCTTCAAGGGTAGTCCTTTTGCTCCCTATCAACAAACCAGTTCTAGCATTTTCCATCTCTTCTGGAAAGCAACTGGGTCTTACATGTCCATCGGAGACTAAGCTAGCCCAATACACAACATATCACAACACTGTAGTGTGCATACCATCCCGGGCATGTAAGGACATCACAGACTTGTTCTTGTTTAATCTTGGGTGGCCGAATGCCACTTGTCCTTCTAAGAATTAGAAGTGGTGGCACCCCATCTGTGGAATGCGCTCCCCAGAGAGGTCCACCTGGCACCGTCGTTATTTGTTTTTCAGTGCTAGGCTAAGACCTTTTTATTCAAACAATATTTTAACAGTGTTTAATATTTATAGGTTTTAATTGTGCAGCCAGGGTGTTTCCGGGTTTTAACTGTATTTGCATTATATGTATTTATTTGTGTGAGCTGTCCAGAGGCTATATAGCAAGGGGACGGCATACAAAAACTTTAAATAAGTAAATAAATAAAATAAAAGTTAGGACATTGACCTCTTGGGGGTTGCCTAACTAATTAGCATGCCAGAGTCCCATTCATTATTGCAATTAGCTTCAGTAGCAGTGATGGGGTGTGTTCAAAGTGCAGGGACTCCACCAACATGAGCTTGTGATGCCCACATACTGGGACCTCCTTGGTCATGAGGGATAATTCCAATCCTGGATCCCTATCACAAATGCAGTTCAGTGGGTTACCTATACCAGTCAGGCAGGGTAGATATACACTGAGCCAGGCAATCTTTTTCTCTGTTAAAGAATCTTAAGATCTGTTCATAACCTCAGTTTTACATTTGCATATGTTAGCATTTTATCTTAAAGTTTATGTAGCTACTGACTGTTTTTAATGTGTGTTGATCGTGTTTGAAATAGTCAGTTGACTTAGTCAATTTCGACACACCAGGGAACCAGATAATGTTGCTGAGAAAACTCCCCCACCCCTGGGACCCTGGTTACTTGAGGACCACAGGTATGCTCCAAGGAAGGTTGGATTCTGGGCATGGGGGTGGAGCATAGATTTGGCCAGCATCGCTGCAAACCCCAAACTGCTGATGTTGCAATGGGAGCTTCACTGGACTAGGGAATCCAGTTGCCCCTTGCTTTTTTGGTTCCTCAACATTTTGTGGATGAAACATGTAAATATGTCAACGCAAAATAAATGTCACATGCTTGCTTTCTCTGCTAAGCTGCTGTGAAAGACACAGGAGTGTGGCATTCTAAATCTGGGAAGCTCAGTTGGGAAGGGAATCTGTTCTCCCTGCAATAACTCGTCAGTCTCTGGATTCTCCTGCACTTTCCCATATCTCTGCCTCATGTGCACCATCTTGTTGCCCATCCTCTCCTTCTCCCTGACACATGGATTGTTGTGGCCTGGCTTGACTGCCACGAGTGCCATGCAAGGCATCTTGATGTTTCCCCCCTGCAACCCCGGTAATCCAATAGAACCATTAGCAAACTCCTAGAAGTCAAGAAAGCCTTTTATTCTGCATCCTAGTACTAAATTTACTTGTCAAATTAAAAAATGCAGGTTTAACATCTTGGTGACAACTGATTTAGGGTAGAATCCTATGTGGGTTTCGATGGAAGCAAGCTCTATATCCCCCGCATTCCTCATATTTCTAAATATGCCTGCAATTGCACCCTTAATTGTGTAGGCAAATCCCAGCTTTGCATTAAAAGTGAATAAAGTTTGTTTGAAGACATAATGATAATAACTCTTGCAGTATGCCTTGTCACACCCATACGGTATCTCTGAACAGACTGGGAGTAGGAGAGTTTTTCTGTTTAGTTCCAATCTCCTGTCTTTTCAAGGGAATTTAGGGTATTGAATCATGCACCTGTGACAGGTAGCTACGTGGCAAAGCATCTCAGGCAGGCAGGCAGGCCCCAGAGGCCTGGCAGGTGTGGCGAGTTATACTTAAAATGCAGGTTAGGCCCCATAGTTTTAGGGACGGACAAATCGGTTGGTTTTACTTTCCCCTGCATTCAGTTATTTAAATTCACGTCTTTCTTTCAATACGAAGAACTTTGCAAATTTCTTCTTTGTAACTTCTTTAAAGTGAGCTGAAATCAAATTCTCAGAGATGTATTCCATCCAAATGCAGAGAAGACTATTTTGCACCTTTCTGACATGAAAATGTTCTAGGTCAAGAGGCCAGCAGGGAAGAGCATGTGGCAGCCCTTACCCAGGTCTAACGTGGCTGAATACATGGGGATTCAAACCCAGATTTTTAAGAGCAATGCATGGAAACTCAGTTTCAGTTTGTCCTATATCAGTTTGATTTTTTTAAAAACCCTCAAGTTTCTTTTGTTCCAACTATGGAGAACTTCAGAAAATTTGGTAAATTTCTAATCAAAATTGGACTGAAACCAGATTCTTACGCATCCCTAACAGGGCCACTACACACACCTCGCTAGACACAGTAGTCTTTCTGTTTGAGAAGAACAATCTGAATCCTTCATCATGCGCAACTAAACCATTCGGTGATTTGGGACAATGTCAGCATGCCAATTTATGGGTTCTGCATGTAGTGGATGATTCAGGTGCTCTGATCAAAGCATGCCAGCATCCCAGCCAGGGAGAAGCAAAAGCGCTCAGCATTGCACAAGATGTCTGTGCGAAGTACACCTGATCCGACCTGTGTAGGTAAAAGGGACAGAGGAATTATGTTGGCTCCTTCACTGCCATGACAATAATTGCATTAAAAGATGACCAAAGCTGCAGCCCTATACCCTCGTAAGGAGGAATAAGTCTCAGTCAGTTCAATCAGACTTATTTCCAAGAAGGCATGGAGAGGATCGCGCTGGGAATTTTGCAAGTTACTATTTTTTCAGACAGTTTGTTTCCCCAAAATATTGCGATATAAAGCTATCAAAATATTTGTAAGGGGGAAGGAAGATTTAGATCTGATGATGTAATATTAGTTATCTGGGAAGGGGGAGGAGAGGGTATTTAAAATGTAAGCATGTATGACTAATACATAATAGGATTACTTGAGCTTTTGTAATATTATGCAATATTTAAATTTATGTTGATTTTCTCCATTTCACATGTAGTAATTAATTTTGTCTTACTGACAGATGATTCTCAATGACTGATTTTCAAGAGAAAATCCAGACAGGTATTTTTAACACTTTGTTTTCATTTGCGATGGCTTGTATTTGTGGCTTTTGTTTTCATGGGGGAGGGAGGCAATAAATCAGGCTGTATTGTGAATTAGCATTATGTTAGATAACTAAATAAGCTCAGATACTTAGCCTTATGAAAAGCTGACAAGATGGGAAATGGGGGAGAGGGCCAAAAGTTCCATACTACTATGAAGAGAGCACTTACAGGGAGACGGGGCTCAAACCTATGCACAGAGCCCTTGCACAGCTGGCCTTGAGTTCCTCCAATGAAATGAATGGGGAACTCAGGGAGCCATGAAGGTCCCAATGTGCATGATGATCTCTACAGATAATTACAGTGGGCAATAGGTATCTTATTTTCTTGTGCCAAGGCTGCACTATTGAACAAACCATGAAAGACGTATCAAAGTGATCCAAAGCTTAGCTCTCTGAAAGTTTAGAAATACCCCAAGTGGCGGCCTTTCCCAGACTGTACTTCAGACTTTGGCATGTCTGAGTGCTCAAGCACATTTTAGAAAAGGGGGTAGCATTCTTGATATGCTACCTTTCCACATGCAGGGACTTTGTTCTTTTTATATGAAAAATATGCAGTCATACTGATTCCTTCATGCAATGTGAAGTGGGATTATCTAGGGAGAGCTCTACATTTGACAGTTCTGAAAGTGAAGTTTGTGTTAATATGTCATTGCTGTGAATTTCCTTTTCTTGAGTACCCCATCCTCCCCCTTTTCCCTCCCAGGTAAAATTAATGATATTTGTTGTGTCACATTGTCTCTGCATTGTTGCTATACATTTAGGTATACACAAGAATGTTGATTCTGCTTGCAACTGCACATTTGCATGAATGCACGTTTCTGCAGATCTTATCCCTCCAATAGTAAAAACTGTTCCTCAGGTTTGCAGAATATGTGCACCTCAGAGAAAAGCCAGTCTGCTGTGGAATGCATACATTGGATGAAGCTTTATTGATGAATACATTTTATAATTGCATTTATATAAAGACTTTTTGATAAATGTCTTTATATAAATGATGTTGCAAAGGACCAGACACGGCTTTTAAATTCTATTCCTCTCCACTTTATCCTTGCAACGAAACCCATTGTACAATCCAGAAATGGGCATCATCGATTTCAGTTGCACATGTCTTCCTCCCTGCATCAGTCCCTGCCAGCTCCTACAGGGATTTAGTCATCAAGTGAGGGCTTGCTTCCTATCTGAAATGCAAATTTTCATGGTCAGAAGCAGACCCTTTCCACTAATTTCCCCAAGGCTATGGCACACCGTCCTGCAAAGGTGTGCTCTTCCTTGCTTGCTGGGTTTTAGCAGGGGTTGCAAGGTGCATCTTTTTAGTTCTGCCTTTCATCTCTCTGATCAGTCTGCTTGAGATATTTTGTTGGATTTCTTTCTATTGGTTTTTGATTGCAAATTGGGAGAAGTTGGACAATCATACCTTGTCTTCAGAATTTGAGCGTGTGCCTGCTGCACCCTTCACTTCCGTTTGTGAAATCAAACCAGTCATTTGTCCATTAACTATATTTTCCTATTTCATTCAAAGTAGAAACCAGAGCTTCAGCATAAGCCAGGATATTAAACCAAGTTCCAGTCATGGCTTAATAACCTGACTTATTAACCATAGAATTATCCATGCTTTCCTGCTTTGAGCCAAATGAGAAACACTGTTAGTGGGAAACTTTCTGGTTTGCTTGTTTTCATGAAGGAAGCAACAAAGGATCTCTGTGTGAGGCCAAAGGTCTTGTATAATTTTAATCTTAATCTTGTATAATAAGCAAGATACATTTGCACCCAGTAACACAGTCACGTTGATCTAATCTATTATAACACTTATTATTGTAAGCCATCATAGGCCATGGAAAGAAGGCATAAACATGCTTGAAAGAAGGAATAAAATAAATACCAATTGGTCTCCTGTCATCAACACTGTAGCTTAGGTTTTCTATATAATTCTAGTGAGCTCAAAATGTAGATAACGTATGTTAGAATTGCCCTTCATCATAATCTACAAAATATTCAGGGTGTAAGGAAAAGAGAAGATATGCTGAAGCTATTGCCACTCAATGTCTGGTTTCATTTAGACACGGATGGTATATCATAGAAACATATATTAACCTTCAGGTACCTGGGCTAGATACCAGACTCTGACTGAAAATACCACCTACTGGTTTATGGACAAATATTTTTAGCACTTTAGTATTTTCTCCACAGTGACTAAATTGATAGTGCACTTGAGTATATCCTTGATAGTTGTGAAGCATCATTTAGTCTTAACGCCAAAGAATCTCCTCCAGTTGAACCATTATAGTCTATTGTATGCAATTGTGTATGTGTGTGTGTGTGTTTTAGGCCACACTGCTTCTATCACAAAATGATGAATGATGAATGATATGATATCATGTGACCCTAACAAAATTCTATCTGAAAGTATCATCTGAAAATTGTCATCTGAAAAAAATAGTTCTGACACTATTGATTATTTAGGCAACAATCCTATTTTAGTTTGGAGTAATTCCCATTGGACTCAATGGGGATTATTTATGAGCAGATATATATAGGATTGCAGTGTTAGAATTAATACTGAATGTGTGAACTGCACTGAAAATGCATAACTATGCATTGGAACAAAGTGGAGATGTCATGTGCCTAATTGGTTTAAAAGAATATGGATCATGCATCTCGTGTCTTATTGTGCTAATCGCAACATTTGACAAATTTCATAAGGAGCTATTTAGGTAAACAAAGTTTAGTAGGGAATGGATTATTTTCATAATGTGTGAGCCTATAAATTTCAAATGCCTGCCATTATGCATTTTCTCTGTTTTAAATTTATTGATACAGTTTACTACAAATAATAATGATGATAATGATGAAATCCCCCTGGCCAACCAACACTTTTTGGCTGAGATCTTATACATACTTGAGAGTAAGCCCAAATGTCTACAGTGGTACTTTGTTTTGAGTAATCATAGAATAGTAGAGTTGGAAGGGGCCATGAAGGCCATCGAGTCCAGCCCCCTGCTCTTGCAGGACACCATGTTACACCATCCTACTCAGGTGGCTGTCCAGTTTCTTTTTTAATGTCTCTGGTGTGGGAGAACCCACCACCTCTCCAGGCAGCTGGTTCCACTCTTGTGTTGTTCCCACAGTGAGGAAAGTTTTCCTGATGTTCAACCTGAAACTGGGTTATTGCAACTTGGACTGATTATTCTGTGTCCTTACTTACTTATTTATTTATTTATTTATTTAGGAGACTTCTATGCTGCCCCATTCACTGAAGCCTCGGGGCAGCTCACATCCAAAAATAAACTTCCATAAAATAATATAAATTAACAGTATAAATTAAGTCGCCCTGGCCAAAGAATAAAATGAATAAATACTATTAACAATTAAAATGACATTTGAATAAAAAGGTCTTCACCTGGCGCCGAAAAACAAATAACGACGGCGCCAGGCAGACATCTCTGGGGAGCGCATTCCATAGATTGGGTGCCACCACAGAGAAAGCCCTCCTCCGAGTACTCACCCTCCTAATTTCCTTCACGGAGGGTTCCCGGAGAAGGGCCTCTCCTGCAGATCTCAAGGGGCAGGTGGGCATATATGGACATAAGCGCTCCTTCAGGTAACCAGGACCCAAGCCATTTAGGGCTTTATAGGTCATCACCAACACCAACACCTTGAATTGGGCCCAGACTTCAATGGGAAGCCAGTGAAGCTGACAGAGGACTGGAGTCATGTGAACATAATGCCCAGTCCCCGTCAGCAGCCTGGCAGCTCTATTTTGAACCAATTCAAGTATCCCGACCATCTTCAAGGGTAGCCCCACGTGGAGCGCGTTACAGAAGTCAAGTACAGAAGTCAAGTCGGGAAGTCACCAACGCATGTGTCACTGTCGCCAGGTAGTCGTACTCCAGGTAGGGGCGCAACTGTTGTATTTTAACTTTATGTTGTGAGCTGCCCCGAGGCTTCGGCGAATGGGGCGGCATAGAAATGTTTTAATAAATAAATAAATAAACACCAGGTCCGTCAGCTCAGGCAGGGAGACTGTTGGGCAGAAGGGTGCATGGTACACCAACACCAACAGAATCCCCAATCTGTCTCGATCGCCCAACACCAAATAGAGGCACTCCAGCCCTGGTCTCGAAGGGACTGGAAGACCCATGAGGGAGATAGAGGCTCGGTAAACCAAAGCGACCCCCCCTCCCCTCCAGGCATGGATGGTGCTGAACCAGATACCCGGGCAGGCACATTTGAGAGAGGGCGACATCTCCCCCCTCTCCCACCCAGGTCTCCGTTATGCAGGCCAGGTCGGCCCCCTCATCCACAATCAAGTCATGGATGAGGGAAGATTTATTGTGGACCGACCTGGCATTGAGCAGCAGCACCGTCAGGCCCGAGGGGCGGTTGACAAGACTACCTGGAACCCTCTGGCTGGGGGCAGAACCAGAAGGAGGGATGGGTGTCAGCCATCTGTCCCTCCTTCTTCTATGCGAACACGTTAAGCCCCCACCACTGTAACGTCCATTGCCCGTGACCAGCCCAATGGCGGCGCCCACGTGCTCCCCAGGAAACTCAACCGTTGTCGTGGCCAGGGACGACTCCATAAAAACAAATTAAAATACAATAAAACTTTAAAACAGTAAAAAACTCCCCATCTACCCCCCCCGATACAAAATTCCAAATTCCACTGACCGACCTAGCCCCCTGCCAGCCCAGCCCTGCAGGGCCACGAACGGTCACAAATGGCAGCGACCGCCCTTTGGCCATCACCCTTCGGCCACCAGCCAGAGGCCGCCGGCCCCAGGCCGCATCCAGCGGGTTAAGCTGGCACCCACCCGCATGCCCCGCCCCATCCTTCACTCTGGCATCAGTAAGATCTTGACCTTCCTCTTTGTGACAGCCTTTGAGGTCCTTTTAGAGGGATCTCATGTCCCTCCTCAGTCTTCTCTTCTCAAGGCTGAACATGCCCAGTTCTCTCAGT